GCCCCTTTTATTTTGGGGGGGGGGGGTCTTATGACCTGACATTGATCTTACAGGTCATAAGACTGATATGGGAAGTCATTTAAGTTATAACTACCAACTACTTGGGCATAAAAACTAAAACTAGTGGTATTGAAAAAAAAAAAAGAGATGTGTTTGTAAACAAATAGATGTATTTTGGGTAAAATCTCCACTCTGTTATTTGTTTTCCCCAAAACATGAGCTTTTTGACACGGTTCATTAGTCAGTTGTGAGTAGTATGTTCATATCTGTGTAAACTGTAAAGGTGTCAGGATAGTTAATAACATGACGCATTGTGTTTTTGTTTTACCAGTGAATTCTTTGAGAGGACCATTCTGTGTAACAGTCTTGTATGGAGCTGTGCCGTGACGGGGAAGCCCTGCCTGACCTTCCAGGAGGCCCTGGAGAGCGAAAGGAAAGCCAGATTTAATCTTCAGAAATTTCCCAATGCGCTGCTCGTCCCCCTTCTGCACCTGACAGCACTTACGCACCGCTCACATCTGCATGAGATATGCGATGATGTGTACGCTTATGTCAAAGAGCGCTTCTTTCCTGGAGAAATTGTGGATGTTGTTAGTCGCTCTGGTGCCAGGTGAGATACTGTTGTAACTCATAACTCATCAACATGAATCACAGTATGCGTTGTAGTGTTTGTCTTCCAGGGCAATTCACCTGAGCTCTGACATTTTGTTGAAGTTCTTGGAATCGGCCATGAGACTTTTTACGAATAAAGCAATAAGCTGTTTTTACATTAAAACAATAGGAATTTATCGCAAAAACTCTGTGGCAAATTTATATCTGTAATGTTATTTAAATAGCCAGTCAGTATCGAAATTGACTTAGGTTTTGTAAACCTTAAGTACAAAACTTGCTTAACTTTGAGGCAGATATCACTGGAAGTAAAGATAACTTGCTGTTCAGTGTGTCAGATGTTGATTCAGATGAGTTTATACATCATTCAGACTGATTCAAATCTGTTACATTTTACCAAAACAAACCTGTTGAGCATAGGGCTGTGATGATTCAAATGCAGAGATTGCAGAAGAGAAAACATACTAAAGTAGCACTGGAAGCCACTACAGTTCATCAGATCACAGTGGAAAATAAATAGAAATGATGATTCTGTCTAAAGAAATGTATGTGAAAGATATCAGTATTTCTCCAAAAATGCACACATTTGGACTAAAAGCCCTTATAGACGCTGTTCAGTAACACTTCCATGTGACAGCCTGTCTGAGTTTGTCGACAGCCAGAGGTGGCAAAAAAACATTTGAAGAGTTTGGTTCCAAAATGCGATAAATGGCATAAAAAAAAAAAAGAGTTCCTGCCAAAATCAGTATTGTATTTGGTCGGTATTGAAAAGTCGATTTAAAATTTTACGCAAAATGCGATATCCGTTGTGTTATTCTGTCATGTTTTCTCCCTATCTTTCCAAACCGCGACAAACGCCAGTCTCCCTTCTCTGCAGAATGCGATACATCTGCTCAACCAATCACAGCGCACCGTTCCACACATTGTAAACCGTAACTGACAAGCTACGCAATATCACGTTCATAATAGCAGATGAATCGCCTTCGATTATGAACGCGATTGCGTAGCTTGTCAGCAGAGGCGGACAGTAACTAAGTACATTTACTTAAGTACACTTTTTGAATATCTGTACTTTCACTCAAGTAATGGAGTTGAGTACTTTGTCCGCCTCTGCTTGTCAGGGATCTACGGCTCTGTGTAGTAAATGCCGCTCCATCTGAGAGCATGTGATGGAGATTTACTACCAATCACAGAACCGGCTTTACTGACGAGATGCGCATGACAATCACATGTGATTTATCATGCAGCCCTAGGTTT